AAAAAAAAAAAAAAAAGAAACTGAAGCTGTCGTTTAGCTGACAGATCGTTACTAATTGCTAATTTCTTAGCAAAGAAGGATACTAATGATAGCCAATGTGTTGGGTATTTGAAATTTTTAATTGAGCATAACGTTGGTTTGTATTGATCGCCTTTATAGATACTTTTAACATTTTCATCAGACTGAAACACACAATATGAGTGTTTAATCTCATGTACAGCGCTGTTTTCTTCAAGGTTGGTTTCGTCAGTGATAGGCTCTGCCTTGCCTGTAGTACCAAAATGTGAAATTATTTTAGCCACCCCTATTTTGGACTGTATGCTTCAAGTTTTTTGCTGCAAGTATTGCTACTTATTCTCTGATTTTTTCAAGTCAGTAACAATCGCATTGTTTTGATCCATTTCAGCAATTGGATTCGTCCTTGATGCGTTCTGTGCCTTCATGGGCCCTTTAAATGAGTCTTGATAACATTAGTATGTCCTCGCATGAGCTTTGGTACAGATCTATAGTCATCGCCAAATCCATCACAAAGTATCCTGAATGAAAATGATCTTATGTTTGAAAATATTCGTTTAACATTCAGTGGATACAAGTAAAAGGGAAACTCCTTAGCCTTATGACGGCGCCTGTGGGGGTGGTGCAAGTGGAGCAGCACTGGTAACCGTAAGAATTGCGCATTCGGGAGATGTGGGAGCGACAGCGAAGGGAGAACGTTATCAAACAACAGCTTGTTGGAGTTACTGACAATAACAGTGATAGAAGAAGATATTCCCTGCCAAAGATCACTCCATGTAAAGAGAATGCTAGGTTATTGTACTATTGCCAGAGTTGACCTCACCAAGCTAGCTGGATAGCCTAAATCGCGCTGCATCAGTATTGAGATGATTACATCGGGCCGAATATCAGATTCATTCTCATATGATGAGCTGTTGGTCCATCACAATGTTATGTTTCGGCCTTGATCAGGCAGAAAGAGTATTATAGTAGGTGGCTTGTAGATCAACTTCCCTAATCTTGCCCAAATGTAGCAGTCAAGCTCGTGATAGCTTGATTAGACTAGCGTAATAAGTTACACTTTGTTTGAATGAAAAAAGAATACAACATCTTGAAAATGATACTCATTTCATCATCTTCTATTATGTATCCCCATATACTATCGTGATGTACAAAGCTTGAAGATTAAACTTATGAATAAGAAGTATTTGTATAATAAGCTCGTGCATCACACAGAATCATTACAGAGAATCTCTCCAGTCACTTTTACACCACCTTTTCTTTAAAATCTGACGTGATTCTATGCTGCTAGTATTCAAATATATTCTTATATAAAAATTATACAACACAACTATGAATTAACAATCAGATATATATTTCAATAGAAGCTTATTTATTATTACTACTTGAATAACATGTCTTACGATATTAGCCTACCACAAAGAATCGCCCAATGAGGAATGAGGAATAGCATTCTCCTTGAAATAGTTCATGCAGCCAAGGAATTTTTTTTTTTCAACTCAGGAACGCTTTTCAAATTCATAACGTAAACAAACCAAAAACTATAAAAGTAGGCTCTCATTCCAACCTTTTTTTTTTCCTACACTCGAACTCTATAGTTTGCCCAATTCCGAGATTGAAGGGATGTTCCTAGAGCATCACCGGATGTTGAAGTGCCGGGTAGCTGGTCTTTCCCGCTTCGGAGGGAGAGCAGGGGTTCTTTATTTTCTTCTCTAAGCATTATGTTTTTTTTATTATTATTAGAATTAATCTAAATGAAAAAAAAAGTTTGGATACTCTTTATGTTTCTAGAAAAAATGAATAACACTGGAATGAAATGAATGACTCCTTTTTTACCTTGCAATGGTTGACGCCTTACCCATTGAGCAAAGCTGACATAGGCGCTTGTGAAGTGTGTCTATATGAGCGTCCTTTTTTGGAACAAAAAGCGCGATCATTTCATTTGAATATGAGAAGCCTTCTAGCAACCCTTTTCTTAGAGATATTGTGACTCTGATATAATGTCTTGATCAAAGTTGTATACATCCAGTAATTTGTTAAAGCATCATATAATGTCAATATATTTGCATCATTTCAAATCCTTCAGCATTACTTATACTAGTCTGCAGTTTTTCTTTTAGCACCTCTTTGTTATTATGTTCACATAGGAACAGGGCGTTACAGAAAGTATGAGTTGCATATAGTCTCCTCAGTTAATTAACATGAGCCTACCTATCAGAATCACCTTCACTTTTTGTTATAACAACTTGAAAATTATTGAGCTCGTCTATGAAGGCCTAAGAAATCAAGTAACAGGCCGGTTCAAAGAGCCAGGGCAAACCGAGGAGAGGAAAAAAAAAAAGAGAGTCTTGTGTATTATCGTTGTGAACGTCTGGATTATATAAATTATATGAATCTTTGTCAAGGCGAGAGCCAGAGGATAAAAAAGCCTTGATCAATGTCTTGAAGAAGTGGTTGGATGTGTAGTATGTGGTTAAGATACCCAAGACCCTATGATGGCTATCCACCATTGCTTTCATCTGACAACTGCCGCTGGTGGCTTGAGGAGGACTTATGTGAGAGCTTGCTCAGGTAATAAGAAGCCGAATCATCAATAGAAGAGGGAAAGATCCAAGCGGCCGTGTGCGTAAGATGATAGTCGTCCACATGTGGATAACTGGGTTTACTACTATGATTCCGCCCAAGGCATAAACTCCTAGTACGGTTAAACATAGGTCCCAATAGGATGGTTCAGTCAAATTGAAAAAAAAAAAAAATGACTTTGACCCAAAGCAGTAACTGAATTCGAGCTTATTTCGTTGACCAAATCAGAAAAAGGTTTTCAGCGAAAAAAATAAAATAAAACAAGTGAGATTGAGCTTTCGATTAGAACACTTTTTCTCTTTAATGAAATAAACCAACATTAAACTTGATTATGAATAAAGCGAATACCAAATGCATACACTATTGTGTTTATAAGTAAAAGTATCCTTGGCAGTATTAACCATAGAGCTCGACAAAGTAAAGGCTACACTTAATCAACCAAATAACAGCATTCATTACTATAGTGATAAACTGTTCTGCCATCACATTGTTCTTCTCTAAGGCTTATTGAGTTATTCTTTTACTATTTTATCTCCATATAAGGCTTATTTTTATCCATTTCATGCATCTATGTATTCATATTCTTTTTCATGATTATAAAAACCCCTTTTCTCATCGCCCAATAAATCACATATTTGATAATACCATTCATTCATGATACGCAAGTATCCATGACAATAAAGACATTAAGTGAAGTATGTCGCGTACCTTAACAGCCCATCCTGTTTCGAGCGCCATTTGAAATAGTTTATGCAGACTTAGAAAATCCATTGCTTTACTATAAAAATGAACGTATAGTCATTAAATCTATCACAATCACAGTCGTTGCTACTGTTGGTCTACAATTCACAAGCAGAAGGTAAAAGGATAGGAATATAACCACGAGGAATAGAGGATAAGCATTTTGCTTTTTATCTTTTCTCATGTGCACTAAAAATAAAAATAGAAACATTACAAACTCTTATGTTTTCCTAATCCAGCAACTCAATCGCCTACATTTCATACTTGATAAACAGGTTTTGATACATGAAGGTTAGGGTGATTTGATTTTGATTCCTTTTAGCAGAAAGTCATAGTGGCTAACCAAATAGATCAATCATGGTTGACTTTCTTTCTTTGATTAACAAATAACAACTGTAATGAAGTCAATTGTGTATGTTCCACAGAATCGGCAGCCTAGTGTTCTTTGAGAAAAGCTTTACTTTTTTGTTTATTACCAGCTGCATTTTTAAAGGATGCCGTCTATCTCAACCTTTTTCCTTGTACATTTAATTCACATCTTGCTTTTCTACTCATTCTTAAAGAAACGACCAGAAAAACAGAAAACACGCACTGGAAATAAGAAAAGTAAAGCAATGACAAAAAAAATTATGTGTATGTGTGTGAGGTCAACTTTATGTATACAAACGGCCGTACAAAAGAAAAGGGGCCGTGAAAAAATTATACAAAAAAAGGGGAGACGTTCGGATGCCCGGATATGTTCTAATATGGAAGAAATAGAGAATGAGTTATTTATTCATTCATTCATTATTGGAGAAAGAATGCATGTGTCATTTATTTTCAGCCTATACAACATGATTTACGTAAACAAAAACTATAAAAGAGGCTATCATTCTTTTCCTTTTTCCTTTTTTTTTTTCTTCATTCTTTATCTCTTTTAAAATTCTCCTATGTTTTTATTATTTCCTATGTTGAAAAGGTATAACAGTGTTTGGGTGATCTCAAAGGACATATAACTAATGCCATCGTTTAGAAAATTTACTTTTGCTGGCTCTATTTCATGGTTCCTGATGTATTTTGCTCTATCATAATGACCTCTCACGGGGCTAAGCCTTAAAGGAATCTTGACTACTCGCTAATACTCAAAAAAATGCTTGCTACTGCTTATCAGTACACTCAAATAATCAAACAATCAAACAAGTACCCAAATACCTACTCATGCTTATCAAATGCTTATCAGATCTCTAGAAAGATCAGTGAACGCCTACTCATACTTATCAATACCTACAAATAATCATCAGTGCCTGAAAATGCTAGTGAATGCCTGTCCCATGCTTATCAACATCGGAAAGTCCCTGAAGAACTTTGCTCATGTCCATCAACGTCTGCTGCTAATGAATACTGCTTTGGAGTAACTACATATTCAAGTCCTGAAGTCACAAGAAATATAATCAATCAATCTACTTTGCCACTATCTGCCAAACTCTATCAAGCTCTGCTATAGATTTCTGCTTCTCTATGCTGGATCATTCCGAGATGCTCCTACTGTTATGGCTCTGCCTCTACAGTTGATAAATGGCCCATAAACCCTCTCTTACTGCTGAGCTCGATGGTTGCGATGCTCCAAAGGTTAAATATTCCAATGTCTCCACAATCATCATCCCTTTCGAAACGCTTCGTCCTAGGTACTTAGAAATGCACTCTTTGTACGTTGAAGCACCTCTTTTGTTGAATTTATCGGGGTATGGTTTTGAGATTGGTCTTTGGTTTTTGAGTCTTAAGCTTTGAGTGCTTTTTATTCATGGAGAGTTTATACCGTAGTCTTCTGGCATGCAGTCTATGGCTTTACTTATCTTGGGTTTGAAAGCTAGCGATAATGTGGCCTTCTGGTCTTTTGGAAAGAAAAAGAAATCTCTACTTACTTTCTAAACTTGGCTATCAAAAGGAAACTCCCTACTTACTCAAAGCCCTCCTCTCTCTCTTTGCTTCTAAAATGGCTTGGAAATCAAACTATTGCTTACTTAAATAAAAACTTCATTTTGTTGCTCCTACACTTGACCTTTTGTTCTTTAATATGACTACTTTCATATTCACTTGGCACAATTTCCTTTGTCTCTGATAATCCAAGGAAACAATAGTTTTATTATTTCTTCATATGTATCATTATGAAGCATTTTGGGCTGTAATCACTATACTGTATTTTTATTAATTATTGACGTTAATTTTATAAAATATTGTCGTAAAATAAAAAAAATATTTTCGTAAAAAGACGACAAAGAAAAATACGTTTGAATAAAACGGCATCATGTCAAAAGAGAGAGAGAGATAATGAGTATATGTAGAAAAAGAGAGAAAAAGTATGTTAGTATTAGAGCACATATCCTAATATTAGTTTTACTTACCACCAAGGTGCATTCTGGGGAGAGTAGCGATAACTACCCAGGAAAGTTTAAACAAAAAAAAAAAAAAGGAACGGAGGACAGAGAGAACCCAGGGCGTCAGAAGAGACTATTGGGGAACGTTCCAGATACACGCCAGAGAGCAAAGATGGCGGGACAAGCGAGTCAGAGCAAGGACCATGAGGACAGGCTAGTTTTGATTGGTGAATCTTTGAACACTCAGAGGGACACTTGATAACTGCTGTAAAGAAGCAAAAAAAGGACTCGATTAAAGTGGGTTTCTATATGTTTTTCTTTTTCAAACAAGCTTCAGGATCAGGTGCCTGGAACAAAGAAATCATGTCAAATAGGAAAAATATACATGGTGATTATTCAAGAATATGCACTGCCAAACATGACTACATGTTCTGATTTCATGGAAAAACCGAATAAAGAATTTAAACTTTTACAAGGAGACTAAAGAGGGCGATTTGTAATATTAGGTTAATTTCAGCTCCAAGACAGCCCACCTGTTAATATTACTGTCAAATGGAATAGTGAGCCATATTCTTTTTGTATTTGTTATTACTCTGATAACATTACAACGGTTTCAATACGACATCTAAATTTGGAAATACAGTATATCCATGGACGTCAAGGTTGATACTACGAAAATATTCTTGGTAACGACGAATTTACATTTCATACAACATGAATTTTGTTCTCACCATTGGGTGCATTTATTTTCGATCACAGGCGAATTTACTTTCCGGATTATCCGCTGACCAGTTCTTCCACGCAGATGATGACTTTCTTAGACGAATTGCTTGGTTCCACTCGATTGATTGCTCATCGTCTTGCCTCACGAGGACTCTCGGTTCAAGGGCGCGGTTTGATAGCCAATACGTTGATACTGAGCAGAATATGGCACTGTCTACGTATCCTCACTGTACCTGCTTACTTTCTCGCCAAGATCCGTGCAATAGTTGACCAATTCATCAATTTCAGATCCTTCCCGAAGATCAGCTTTGACACTTGTCGGCGCCCGCGAAAGGAGGGCGGTTTAGCGGTTCTAGATCCAGCTACCCAACTTCAGGCACTTCAGCTACGTTGGCTCCGACCACTCGTACAGCCTGACACGGAATCAAATTACAACCATTCTTTTGCCCTACAAACGTTACAATACTGCTTATGCAGTTTCTCGGGTTGCCCCAGTCCTATTCTGCCTTTGGCCTTCGCAGAGCTACGTTCGCCGGACGTAAAAGCAATGGGTTGCTGCAAGCTCCTATTTCAAGTAGTAGACATGCTGGATTTCTCTGTTAACTGGGAGGCAATGAATATATCGGTGGTCTTAGAGATTCCGGTTTCGCGGATATACCTCGATTTGCCGACTTGGAACGGTCGTGGTCGTCGAACAAACTGGGGCCAACTGCGGATGAAGGATATCTTCGAATATAGTCCAATTCACAACTGTTTGAGACAAAGAACTTACTTGTCAAACACAAGGTTTAAACATCGAGTAAGCCGATTCCATTC